ACCCGTGGGAGATAAAACAACAATTCAGTCTGTACGATGGCATTTTAAGGTCTTTCTGCCTCGCCCTTCTCTACAATTTCCCGTCCTTTTTTCGGGCGCTAGAATCTGGGTCTTTAATTGCGTTCTTAACGAAGGTCCACCAATTGCATGACCTGCTTCTCACGTGTAGCGTACATCGCTCCAGAATTTCAATGCAGGTATGTAATGTGGGGTCCAACCAGTCTCGGCGATGGCGGCTTGCGATATAGCCGCGTCAGTAGACAGAAGGTCACCTGTAAACTTTCGCGCGCATCCGGTGCTCACGCGCGTTGTACACCTGTAGGCTGGACGTCGACGAGGGGTGTCACAACGAAGCAAAGTGAAACTGCTTATCTCCTAGCGGCGCTGTACCGAAGAAATATGACTTCTTGATGAACAAATTGCAAATACAAATTTTCACGTAGATCGGAGGTACACGATTTATCACGTGGAGAGATATTCGACGAAAACGAGCATCATTCCCGACCGACGCTCAGACGGTTTTTCGTCTGAGGAGTAACAGTTTGACGTTATGGAATTGGACGATGCAAGATATGTCGTGCTCCGCCCCTGAGTGTGCGAATCGCTCAAGTCCATTGAAACTATCTCTGTCGACCAGTCTAGCCATTATGATGATTAAATATGCTAATTTTCTCTTCTATTCGCGGCATTGTGTCTTTCGAATTACGAAGCTGACTTCTCTGTACGGGTGTTTGGGCTGAACCTCCCGTAGATTCCGCCCAACGCCTGTATGTTATCAAACAATCTATGGACACAGGCGCTAATTTTTCGAAAGCCTAGGATGAGCTCTTCTTAGCAGCTAGAGAGCTGTGGCGTTTTGTCGTATGACACTTTATGCCATCTGGGTCGAAGGACTCCGCCGCATGGAAGACTCGTTTCTAGGACAGGAGGTGATCACGGCCAGTGTCAAGACCATCTTTTGCCGTGTCGGTCCAAAAGTTTTGTGGATCAACCTACCAGCCCGACATGGGGGAAGAAGGTCAACTGTTTGCGAAGGTACGGTCGGCATTGTCTGATACTCTCCTCTGCTACGACAAACCTTCTTCGTTGCAAGCACGGCATATCGAACGGTGCAACGAAGTGCTATACCTCCTTTTTTTTCGATAGAGGATCCCGCGGAAATCCGGGTCCAGGCGGACATGGATCTTTGATTGTCCGACTCCACGTTCCGACGCACGCCCATACGTTTTGTAAGTATCGAGTGTGGCCTGTGGCTCTGCCGATACCACTAACAATATCGCTGAATACTGGGGGCTCGTACACGATCTTGGGCAATCATATAAAAGCAACTACTCACCCCTGTATGTCATCGTGGACAGTGCGATTGTGCTTTCACAACTCCGAATACGATACCCTTCACGCAAGCAGCACTTGGTGCGGTTATTTAACGAAGCAAGCGCCATCGCTAACGATATCCATGTCTCCAGCTGGGGACATTATTGCCCCACCTGCAACAAAATGGCGGATCGACTGGCGAATATCGCTATGGATACAGTAGCTTCGGTTCAAGCGCACGCTATTTCTAACCCTTGTCTAGTCCAGGAGGCTACGACCTTCCTTGATTCTGATGTCAATCATTGTTTGGATACCTATCAGGCCGAATAACACGTCATACAAGGCCACGTACTAACACTGAGGAACCTGATCATCTCAAGAAAGTCGACTACGCGCAAGCGATCTGCTGTCCGCGATCTAGTGATACCTAGTAAATAAAGTAGCGGTGGCCACGGTAACCTTGTTGCCGGGTGATAGGATATAGCACGTCGTTCTCGCTCCTAAATATACATCACCTTCTCACTCAATCCATCGGACAGGGTCACGGCAAGAACATTGAAATTTGTAGGAGGACCACATAGATATAGCGCTCTACGCAATCGTCTACAATGACGCAGCTGGACGTACAATGCGAACTTGGTGCTTTATGCTAGTCAACCGTTTTGATCACAAATTTCTCCGGAACAAGTATCGCTGATGGTCGAAGACAAGAACATTGGTCTATCGAATGCGGCAGCGCGTGGAGCGCAAAATTTTCTGAGTATGGCACGCGTGGCACAGCAGACGTTCCGAAAATTCACGCATGGCACTTGGCGCTTTGCTTACTTTGTCTACTTCTCCATCGTCATCGTTCCATGCAAAGAGCTGACCGTGACTGCATAGTATACAGCTGCATACTTCGCATGTCACTATAAGTACGTCAGGGCGAGCTTATTATATCGGGATAGAAATGTATCGCATTACTGCGCTTCACATCACATGCGGCACCACAACATCCCGTTTTTCCGGCGCAGCAAGAGAGACGACAAGTGCGTTAAATACAAATAAGTGGTGGCAGCGCGTGGCTGCCTAATTCACACGACCTCGTAACAGTCTCAGTGGCACATCCAGCATCAAGCAGTTACACTGCTCGAAATACTATACAGCTGCAACATCTCTCTTGACTTTCATTGCTGCGCAGTCAGTACCTTGACATCCGTCTTCGACACCCCAAAAGATACTGCACGTTTGCAAGCATTTTGCAATGCTACAACACGCAGTAGCACTGAGCCAATCATGTCGGGCGTCTCAGACTTCACTAGCGGATACTTGAACGCAGCCTAGACGTTATCTTCATCACACTTTCATACGCTGTCCCATGCTCGACGATATCTATATCCACGTCCGCGAGTACCGCGTCGGCGCTGCTTCGCACATAAAACAGCACAACTGACGGGTGTTTGTTCTGCGCGGAAGTAAGCAATGATGACCAGACTTTATATGAATTGAATGTGGTGATGACTATGTCAATTTGCAGCCACGCGTCGTCAATGCACTCGAGCTCCCAGCTATACATGCACATTAAATCATGGTATAACTGAGCTGCGAATGTATTCAATCGGACAATCAGAAGGCTACAGTCGATGCATGTAGCGCAGAGACCGTAGCCTTTCAGTCAAGAAGAAGGAGGAGGCCCTGGAGAACGAGATGGGGTAGATGTAGACAGAATGTCTGATCAGGGTGTGTTGAGGTTTGAATCTTGTCCTAACTGCAGGAGACAACGTCGATAGCCTGATCATGATAGTTTTATTTCGAGACACGACTTCCGGACCCTGAACTGAATCTTGAGGAAGTGCGAATAAAGCGGGACGTATGCTTTGTGCTACATGACGTCATGATTGATGTTACGACTTTTTTTATCATGTGCCTTACCCCGTAATTCGAAAGACACAATGCCGCGAATGGAAGAGAAAATTCGCAGATTTGATCATCATAATGGCTAGACTGGTCGACAGAGACAGTTTAAATGGACTTGAGCGTTGTCTGTCTGATTCTACCGGTGTCGCCATAGCGGCGGGTCCCGTCCTTATGCGAGTATGACGTAGGGAGGTGATACGATCTGGACCAGATGATGAGTGAGTGATAAGGTGAGGTATATCTAGGTACGCGTAGGACCCGCTATCCTATCGCTTGGCAACAAAGTTACCGAGGCTATTGCTACTTCATATACTAGGTAAGACTAGTCCTCGAGCAGTAGAATGCCGGCGCGCAGACTCCTGTCTCGAAATGATCAGGTTCCTCGGTGTCAGCGCGAGGTCCTGTGGCACGTGCTGTTTGGCTTGGGAGGCCTCCAGCCAGTGGTTGACAATATTGTCAAGGAAGGTCGTAGCCTCTCTGATCGGTTCATGTAACGGGGCACGCCTTGTGTCAGTTCGACACAAGGTTGTGTGCACCCGACGTCACGTACACGTGACGAGGAAGCGCAGCGAAGTAGGAAGAACTCGAAAGCTTTGTCTAAGGGAAAAAGTAGAACTGTTACCAAATATAGTCAAGCTTCTTACTAAATCATCTTTCGTCTCAATCTAACTAAATTAAATTGCCATCTCCTATGTGGGTCTCTTGCTCACCATCCATTGCGCGCGTCCAGCAGCGATTGGTGGTTATATTGTTTGATGTAGATGTTACATCAACCAAGAAGTGGAGCACCGACGAATATTACCCTTGGGGGTAATATTCCGACAGCATCACCTCTTCTCGAGTGATGTTGACCGAATATTATCACATAGATAGTACTCAAAAATCGATACTTTCTATCAACTTTTACGAAACGGGATCACCCCTTTACAGTTCAGGTTGTATCCAAGCCAAGGGTCACGAGTTGCAGGTCCAGACGCTTCTTTGTCCAGTCGTCAAGTACACTACTGAGGGCAGTTGCGAAAGTCGTGCGGGTAGCAAGCAGCATACTGTATCAACGTACGAACGAGTGAAGGGCTCGACGTCAACGTAAGCAAACACGAGAGAGTACATTGTAACTAAAAACACGTCGAGAGTCAACCGTTCAACGGTTCCTGCATCAGGAAGGCTTCACTCTCCATGAACGACGACTGAAGCTTGGCAATGTGCGCATAGAATTGTCGTGTCTCCGTCGCCATTTGAGCCCATTGACTTGCGAGGAGGTCATAGCCGTCGGATAGACGCTGTGTACTGTCGTGCGGAAGTGACGGAGGTGGCAATGCATCACCAATGGTGGACACACGAGCGTGGTCTGCCATCGGGAGCACTTGCTTGTCGACAAGTCTTCGGGATACACATTTCGATGGCGAGTGAGGAGTCGTCAGCGAAGTGTCGATCGTGCCGGCCGACGCTTGCTGTTCGTTACGGTTGGCACGACGCACGACACGTTGTCTGTTTTCTGAGCCGCACGGAAGACGGCTCATGCGTAGCACGACTGCTTTCGTACCATACTGGATCAACTGAACCGTGTCGACAAACGGGAGCGTCAAAAGAGTATACGCGAAACGAGCGCACTGGTCGATCCGCGAGAAGCGCGCCAAGGGACACCAGTGGACGAAGGACCGCTTTGCAGTGGTAGAAGCCATCGATACGATGCGCACGATATACGCTGTGGCGAGCAGCCTAGTATCCATAGTAAAGATAGATGCAAAGACGACAAGTAAGAGGGCGAGTCGCTTTGCAGTCGACAAAGATAGGAGTACGCACGAATAAAACGCACCAGAGGCGGGTGTAGCAGTGGCTCGGATGCAATTTGCCAGACGTCATCATGTCGGTTGCTGTGGTGGTGGTGGTGCTTGGACTGGTTGTGGTTGTTGTATGTATTGTGATGGTGGTCGAAATGAGGAGAGCTGTGTTCAGGCGCAGACGGCGGCAGACGGTCAATGTGTGTGGACTGGTGCGGGTTAATTGGTGAATGGCGAGACACAAAGCCTTTTTTGCCGGAGGTCAACACGAGCCATCCAATGAGCTGTTGTGCCTGCTCGCTCTCGCTGCAACCTTTTGCTGATGCGAAGGAACCGAGTGTCATGGACGTGAGTGGTGGACCGCGCATTGTGTGTACATGCTGCGTGCGACCCATTCCTGGACTTCGTGATGACGACTGGCTTCAAGTCTGAACCGCTGCGGGCACCGCAAGACGAGTGCATGCAGGTTAATGTACTTTTGTGGCAACGGCTGGTGCAAACAGCCATACAGGCGAGTGTTAGTAACACGTCGTCATGCAATATCGAGCAGGTTTGCTTGTCATGGTTGCGCATGAGGAGACCATTCGTGCTTGAGGTTCGATTGCGGGAGTCAGAATACGCACTGCCGGGTGCACGTAGCTGAAGCATCGTGTTCGTGGTGCTGGAGTCCCGTCCTGGCGGACAACAATGGACCATGTGTGTTACTCACGTGATCCCATTGCGGTGGTAGTGGCGAGTCTGCTGAAGGCGGCTGTCGACAAGCAAGAGATAGTGTAAGCACAACTTATACCGCAGCTACATGCTTCAGTGTTTCTTGTCAGTGTGGTTGTGTTGGTAACGTGGTGTTCGCTCGACGACACACTTTCGGTCAGTTTGTGGCCGCGGTGTTTGCTGAGCTGCTGGGGTTGTCACACCTTGTCATGGCAACAGCTGGCAACCTCTGAACCCAACTCAAGGTGACGGACTATTCAGACCGTTCGTCCGACGAGAGCCACTCAAATACGCACGGAAGCTTCGCGTACGCCAAGTCCGTCCTCGCAGGCTTCCTGTATTTTATGAAGTCCAGCGAAACTGCGTTCGTGGCATATGCGTGACCCATTGTCGTTTGTCTCAGAGCGATCGGTCATTTCAACAAGCTTGGAATCGATGCTGTACATATGTCGGACCGCTGTACACGTGATACATGCAAGCGTGATGAAGAGTAAAAGGTGTGTGATCATAGTCAGCGAGCTGTGACTCGATATATGAAGCACACGAAGCACACGAAGCACTGAAGTTGGTCCAACAATCGAGCTTTGGAAACTACCATCACGCGCTGTCAGATGTTCAGAATGCTGGCGAAGCGTGACACAGCTCAGTAGAGGGCGGTGTTGGTCACTCATATTCTAGTTGTAAAGTGTCTCGGGAGAGAGCTCTTGCCAGAAGAAATACGTCGGGCTCCCGTGTACAAGGCTTGATAAATCAGCAGAAGGATTCTACGTCGCACTTTCTACCAAGAGATTGGTGTCAATGGGGAAGTTGACTCGCAGAAATGGCAGACATGGCATCATGAAGACGCGGACAGATCACGAGACTGGTACACTGAGAATACGGTTTCAAAAGCGGACTTGTTCATGGGCAACACACGAAATCGATAGCGTTGACGCCTCATATCTAGTCGTTACGCGTGACGTCCAGCCGAGGCCTACATAAACTCAGCGTCTACATCATCGAAATACGGGTGTCGCAATGCCTCTTTCGCGCTGATTCGCGTCGACGGATCGTAGCGCAGCATGGACTACTCCACAATCAGCAACAGTACAACGTTAGCCAACACGTTTTAGGCACGTAACACGAACAATGCTCGTACCTCCAGCAAATTTAATCCACTCTCGTCGATCTGGGGAAAGAGCTCGCATGTGTTTTTTCTCTTCCACTTCGGAAACGTAGGCGCATAGTCGCGCAGCTTCGTAACACCTGGCCATGATGCATCGTTCGGTGTGCCAAATGTTCTGCAATCATTTAAAGCCACTTTTCAGCTATACAAAGCCAAAAGCTCTTGCAACGACAACGTGTCCACCCACCTAAAAATACGGTACAGTTGATCAATCTCGGAGTCGCCAGGGAAGAGCGGCTTCTTCGAAACCATCTCGGCGAAAATAACGCCGACAGACCAGATATCGACAGGAGGCGAGTAGACCTCCTGACCGAGCAAGATCTCGGGTGCTCGGTACCATAGCGTGACCACCTCGTGTGTGTACTTTTTGATCGGGAGACTGAAGGCCCGCGCTAGACCAAAGTCGGCGATTTTCAGCGCGCCTTTCGCGTTCACCAATAGGTTCTGTGGCTTCAAGTCGCTGCAGCGTGCAACGAGCAGTAATCAAATAGCAAACACGCACAATCAGCGCGATGACCTGCTGCCTTGCAATTGGTGCACGCACCGATGCATGATGCCGCACGAGTGCGAGAACGCCAGACCCTTGAGCAGCTGGTACAAGAAGCTCTGCAGCACAGCAACGTGTCAGCAATACAGCTTCCTTACTCTTGTATGGCCAGCTAGTAGTGCAAACCTTGATCTGGCTGAGCTCGAGCTTGCCAATGTGTTGCTCCATGTACCTCTTGAGGTCCATGTCCATAAACTCAAACACGAGAAAGAGCTTGCCGTCCTCCTGCAGACAGTCCAGCAGACTGTAGCAGCACATTAGACCAGAGAACCCCTTCAAAATCCAGTGCACGCACTCCACGCTACGTAAGACCCTGCCTGACGATGTTCGGGTGCTCCAGCTCCCGCAACACGGAGATCTCGCGCAGCGCCGTGCTGGGAATACCGTCGTCTTCCGTCTCGAGGCGTATGCGCTTGAGCGCAACTACTTTCTGAGTCTTGAGATCTCGCGACTTGTACACGACGCCGTACGTGCCTTCGCCAATGGTGCCGCCCTTCTCGATGCGCTGATATCGGTCCATAATTGCTGGGAACGATTCTGAAACTCGAGATTTGTTTCCAATGGTGTCGATGTCTACAAATCGATTGGGATGCGCAATGAATGTCCAACATAAGGCGGGCGTCGCGGGCGGGCGACGAAGTAGTTCTATGAAGTAGGAACTTGTGCGAGAAAGTGAGTGGGCTTGCGTTTGTAGAAAACGCACAGGTACCGTCATTCGGCCAAATGATTGGTGCGGAAAATACCGACCTAGCATGGCTACACAGTCCTGCGTCCGACTGGTTCTCGAGCGTAAGCCAAAATGTCCGCAAACGTGTCTGTGATCAAACTAGGAATTTGACGATGTCGTTTGTGGCCCTGGATTGTCGGTCACGCTTTGACCCAAACGAATCCTGTGTGAATCGATAAATTCTCACACTGACATCATACGTGCAGTCTACTGGACATATCGTGACGCGGCAAATATACCTGCATCATAGCATGACCTCTGATTTCGATTACATGGCTTCGTGTCAAGGACAAGCAGACGTTACGTCGACCGCTTCATTCCTCAAAGAGCCACACAAGTGGCCCCCTTCCCCCCACCCTTTACCAAGGAAGCAGCTCAGAAAAGCAAGCAATCAGGGAGACAATGTCTTTCTAAGTTGGTGTGTGTTTCCGCGTGCTGGTCAAGTTTATGTCTTGACGACCAGTCCCAGCTCCTTCGTCCGTACGCAGCATGAATGTGGACGTGGAGAAGATGGCACGAGCGTTTGAAACGCGAACGAAACCTTAGGAACGATGACGAGGTCGCGCGGAGTTAGAAGGATGAGTCCCTGCAATAAAGAGGTGAAGACAAGCGGCAGCACAAGTGGCAAAGAAGAAGTGGCCTTGCGGTCACAGCAACGAGGGGAAGAAGAAGAAGAAGAGGGAGAAGAAGAAGAGGGAGGAGGGAATCGATATTTGTATCAGCGTTCAGCATGTTGCACGGCTCTGGACAAGCGACAGCGTGGATACGTCGTGCTGGTCTCGCTCAGAGCTGGAATGATCTACAGCTGGAGCAGTCGGCAGTGGAACATGTGGAGAAGGCGGTCGTCGAAGAACTGGCCCGTGATGTAGACGACTTGTCGACTATTTTCGAGGGCCTTGTGGACGGAGCAGACATTTCGCTGCCTTGCGACGACGGCCACGACGGAACTTGGATCGACAGTTTGGATGACGACGGGGTGGATGTGATTGAGCTCTCGTCTGCGTTCGACGTGCTGATGGAGGAGCAAGGAGAGGCGATGGCGGTCTCTGACTCGGGCGATGGCTCGAACGACGAGGAGGAGGACGACACTGACGACGAGGATGCGACGACGGACGAGACGGAGGTGACTGATAGCAGTGTTACGGATATCGCTGACATCCACATCATTCCGTCTGCGCCCGTTTGGGCGAGCATGGCTCCGCTGGACCCTCGCTCCTGCATCCGCACACCAGTGTTTTCGGACCTGGATACGCGAATCCCGCGCGTCCAAGTACCTCGAATCGACCTGTCTTTCTCAGCCCATCGCGTAGTTATGCTGGCTGCTGGTGTCGCGGACGTCAGTCAGCCTGAACAGTCGATGTCGCCGCCGAAAGAAAAGGCCAAGGTCGCAAAGTGTGCGCACAACTCCGAGACGTGCTGGGTGTGCAAGAGTTCCAAGTCAGTAGAGCAGAAGCGTGCGCTGCATCGTTATTACGAGAAGCGGGCGCGTCGCAACTGGAAACGGGGTCCTCGGTACACTGGCCGCAGCAACGTGGCGTCGTCACGTGTGCGCGACAGCGGGCGGTTTACGTGCACGACACGATGGATCTGACTATTGTGTTGACCGCTGTGGCTCTACGTGCGTCTTGTCTCATTGCTGCATTGTTGCTTGGAGCGTCGTCGTATGCGCTATTATCGCTCGATTCATCGTACAGCTCTTCTGTTAATCCAAATGATACATCGTCACTCTTTTTAGTAGCAAATGTCCATCAAAGCTTTTGTAGGACTCTTCGTTCGCCGCTTGATGTGGTGCACACCGTGTGGTGACCACGCTGAAAAGCATCGAGACGCCACGTACGATGGTAAGACCTCTTCCTCGGAGCTCTCCGCGAGTTTCTAGAGCCCTGTTGGTTCACGCGCTCACGTCTACCATGTCTATGCACCTGTATGTTTCTCTGCATTCTACGATCATTGACGGTGACAGTCGAGCAAATTCCTGAACGAGAAAAAGAAAAAGCTGCAGGCGTTCAGGAACACGACCAACGCCAAGTAGGTGGCTACAGCTACACGATGCAGGGGTTACGCTGTGACTATGTGATCGTTCTTCTTGCGAATTTCTTTCACCGACGACCGACTGTTTGCTGCTGTGTGTGATGCAGCGATTCGGTGGCCAAGACGTACTTGGAAAAGTTCGGCTGGGACCTGATGCGAGCCGTCGACGAGTTCTATGCTACTGGGGGCGAGAGTCTCAAACCTGTGTGCGTACATGTGTTTGACCAGATACGGGGGAAATGCATACGCGACAAACATGCCGACGCGGTTTTGTTCTGATGATGTCAATGCGAGCAGACGAAAGTCGACAGTCTCCATGGAAGCGGTGAATGCGTGGTTCGATCGTTACGTTGGTGCGATGTATTGGGTCTTGGCCGTTGCTACGAGTGGTATGTGCTAACGTTTGCTTGCTCTCTGTTGTAGACCCTGACGATGACGAGGATGTGATCAACGAGGAGGGCCTTCTCAAGTTTTGCGAGGACATCGGTGTGGACCCGCAGGACATCGTGGTGCTGGTGATTGCGTGGAAAATGCAGGCGGGCTACATGTGTGCCTTCACACGGAAAGAGTGGCAGAAGGGCATGCGCGAGATGGACTGTGACTCTGTTGCTAAGCTAAAGGCCAAGCTTCCTCAGCTGCGCGAGGCCATCGCAAGCGAGTCGAAGTTCAGAAAGTTCTACGGTTTCTGCTTCGGCTTCTCGAAAGAGCCGGGACAGAAGAGTCTCAGTATCGACATTGCTGTGGCCATGTGGGACTTGCTGCTACGACCGCGTTTTGAGAAACTGACAGCGAGTTGGCTGAGCTTTCTAGGGGCGAAGAAGCCGGTGAAGGGCGTGACACGCGACACGTGGGATCTCCTTTTTGACTTTTTTGTCAAAGTGCGGGAGTCGTACGCAAACTACGACGAAAGTGAGGCGTGGCCTGTGCTCATCGACGACTACATGGTCTGGATAGACAGCAGCAAGCAGTAACTCACTAATGCACGCAAAAGTAGCTCTCACCCTTCACTAAGTATCACAGAATATCCGGATATTGCATGTCGTCGATCCGGTGAGGTTCACACGATTGCGCAGGATATCATCTTCGACAGTCACACGCCATTGCGCACTCGCTGATCAGCTATGGACGTGCTGTCGCTTGAAGTGCTGTCCGAGTGCACGTTCTTTCCTCAGGACTACGTGCAGCAATACAAGCGGCAAGTGAACGAGCTCATGGGGCGCATGGAAAAGCTACTGGAAGAGCAAGAGGCGTTCGAGACGGACGGGGACGAGACGATCGAGCTCGAGGGCAGCGACGTGCAAGTCATTGTCGTGCCCAGTCAGACGGTGTGGCAGAATCTTTGCGCGCTCGAGGAACTCCGCAAAGATGTCGATGCAACGCTCGAGCTGTACCAGCTGAAGGTGCAGGAGAGCGTAGCGCTCGTACGGGCCAATTCAGTACTGGAAAGGACGCCGAGCAGCTCTTCGATCGTCTTCTCAGACGACTGCAGCTCTTCAGACGACGTGGACGATGTACAGGAGACCGATTTTGATGATGTCGTGCCGGTGAAGAGCCGAAAAGCTGCGGAAGCGCTGAATAACGACGTGACTCAGAGGGTGCAGAACGCACTGAAGAACAAGGAGGAGTTTGAGCGATTTAAGGCGATCGCACTCGAGTTTGGGATGGGCAACCAGTCGGTCGATACCTTCTACAACTACTTGGCACAACACATCCCGCCACCGATATTGGACTCGATTGCCGTGGACTTTGCTCGGCTGCTACCGCAAGCAGCCCAGAGAGTACCGCTGTTAAAGGCGCATTATGAACACATGCAACGAAACTTGGTGAGACCGAGCATCGCCTCGTTTCGCAATAAGAGCTACAGCATAGCGGAAACGTCGCAATCCTCGGCTTCTTCCAGTGCGTCGATATACGGCAGAGAAGGGGAATAGGGTGACGCTGGGTATGCTATGACTGATGCTCTACTGATGTAATTGTAGGCGTTGACGAAGGTGGCTCAAGCGACGAAGAAGATGAAGAGTACCCTTCTACGGTACGTATGTACGACGACGCCTTCGTTATTGTGAGCTAGTGTTGGAGTGTTAACTAGTGACGCTTCTGCTTGCAGATTCGACTTCGGTCGTTCAACCACCTTGTTTTCGTTATCCACGGTATCGGACAGCATATCGACTTTCGTGATGGCGAGTTTAAGTCATGGAACGAACAGACAGGGATAGAAGGTGGCAACCATGCCTTTCGCGACATTTTCCGTGGAATGCTCGAAAGCACGTTTAAAGATATACCGATGGCCCTTGAAATGCAGTCGATCGAATGGCATGAAGATCTTCACGAGCCTACGGGCTTGGACAACATTTTCGATCTGATCTCCCCCGAAGGAGCGTCGGCGTACGTGGATGTAACACATTGTCGACGGCTTACGATCCGCAACGTAGTGTAACGTGTTGTGTTTACGATTTCCTAGCATTCGCGAGTTCAACAAAGAGACCTTCATGGATGTGCTTTACTATTTGTCGCCACGGTATGGACAGCTCATCGTGGATTCGGTCACCCAACAGCTTAACGAAAAGTACCGTGTCTTCATGAACGAACACCCGAGTGCGTCTGTGCGCACATTTTATTTTTCTGCTCGTGGTTCTTGTGTCTAAGCTCGCTTTTGCTATTAGACTGGGACGGCAAAGTATCGATATTCGCTCACTCGCTCGGCTCAATGATTTCGTACGATATTCTGACACACAAGCCGGGTGAAGTCGCCAGTAATGGCGTCTGTTTTCCCGGTCTTGAATTCGAGGTCGACAACTTTTTTGGAGTCGGGTGAGGATGAGCTGTTGTCGATACCTGCAATCGTGTTTCGTTGTGGTAGCTTACTCTGTTGCTTCTCCCAATAGGTCTCCAGTAGGAGTAATGATACTGGCTAGAGGGGATCTCAACATTGACGAGGGTAAGTTCACGCCTGGGATCAAGCTTCCACATTGCAGACGATATTTCAATGTTTATCACCCGATCGACCCGGTCGCGTATCGTATTGAACCACTGATTATGCAAGAAATGCACGACAAGGAACCAGTGCAGTTATTGCAGGTATTGTACATTGTGTGGTGGCACGTGCTTGCTCGTAGAATGACATACCGTTTCCTAACCGCTCCATTTTGACCTCCTCGCAACGTGCAGTACAGTGCTGTAAAAGACCAAGCGTTCGGTCAGTTGCAAGAGATATGGGAGGGTTTGACAAGCCCAGTTCATGGGTTTCCGTATCGCCATGACTATGTAATGCGACGCCGAAAACATGAACAGGGTGTGATGGAAGTAGCATTTGCGGCTGCCTCCCACTCATCTTACTGGATGAGCGACGACGTCGTCCTGTTCACTCTCATGCAGATGTGTCAGCCGGTGGTTGATATCCTGCATCGGTACATGAGTGCCCGGGTTCCTCTGCCAAAACTTACGAGGAGTACCGTGGAGCTCACGCCGCACGCCAAGATACTATTGTCTGCGACAGCTCTCGTGCGCGATCGATGCACGGGTCTATCGCGTGAGCAAATTGTTTTAATCGATAAGGATCGACTTTTCTTTCTGCCACGGCTCAACGAAGTTGCCTGTCGTCAAAAATGGCAACTTGAGTTGACCGCATCAACTGAAGTTGTGTGTGGTGAAGACTCATTCATGATGAAGATTGTTTCGGGCGGATCGTCTGGTACAGCATGTGCAACCACTGCTCCACCAGCCGCAAGCAACGGTACCCTCTTTAACGAACACATTTTTAAGGCCCCGTCGACGCCGGCTCGTGATGCGTGGATGGAGGCAATAAATTCAATGACTGCTAAAGTTGTTGCTGATACGTTTGATGGCAAGGCATCTCGAGATGCTATAAACCTTGTCGACGTCCCAGCTGGAAAAAGCATTGATTACTTTAACGCAATCAAGGCTGGATTCATAAAAGAGAAAACCGCCAACGGATGGTATGATTCGTGGAATGACCGATGGCTCGTGCTGCAAGAAGGTCGTCTATCTTGTTATGAAAACTCACCGAGGCTTGACGTTGCTGAGCAGTTCCCACTACGAAAGACAAAAGCGTTTTGTTACGAGCGTGAATATCTAATCCGAGTGGTCGCTCGTCGCGGAGCCGCATGTGAAATGCGAGCGCAGAACCAAGAGTCGTTTGATAAGTGGGTGGAAGTGCTTGAAAGGATTCCCACGGTGAAAATTGTCCATCACAAAGACTTGCTAGAGAACAGTCCGTCGTCGGTACTGATCATGAATGAAAGCTCGAAGGGGGACTTCGGTGGCCAAAGTGCAGGCAAAGCGGGCGAATGGCTGAAGACGAAGATCGAGGGATACAAAATGATGCTGGATGAAAACGACCAAGAGTATGTTGCTTTCGTTGTCCAAGTTGCATCATCAACTGCAGGCACCAGCGTCGTTCACCGGCGGTACTCCGAGTTCGCGAATTTGCACCGCCAGCTGCGCAAAATGTTCCCGCACGAACAGATTCCCGCATTACCTGGCACACGCATGTGGAACAAGTTTGAGCCGAACTATTTGAAGCACAAAGCCATTGGGCTGCACGGCTACCTCAACGAAGTATGCAAGCGGTGTGCTAACACACGAGCACAGCCGCTCTTTCTAGAGTTTTTGGAGCTTGCACAACCGATTGCTCCAGGACCGAAGACGCTGTCGGAAGAAGAGAATGCAGAAACAAGGTAGGTTTGTGTTCAAATCGAGAATGCAAGGCGATGGCAACTGTGGTGAAAGTAATCGACAGAATTGATCAATTAC